CTGTCGCAGGTTACAGTTGTTCCCTTTTTCGGCATTTGGTTTTCGGTTTTCAGCAACAACACAAGAGGTTTTTCGGATTTGGTGTCCGATGTGGTTTTCAGTTTTCCTATTCATGCTATTCAGTTTCCGGTTTCTTCGTCTTCCGTCTACATGCCATGACGTTATTGAGAGGAATGCGTGACAAACCTGAATGACCTTATCAAGTGGTTGCACTTCTCAAATCAAATTATGCCTGGGACCATCGCCTTACAAAGAATCACAGAGGGTACCGGGGCAAAAAATGGCAGAGAAAGTTGAGAATGAAAGTCAAGAGGTAATTGTGGACTGTATCGCTTTCGTATGAAGAGGGTAAAGGAGGGGAGAATTTTGGGACGATGAATAAATTCAGGTGTAAATTCAACAAGGAAGAGCGAAGCCTGCAAAAGTTTAAAAACTCTATTTGGTTAGTCACAAAGTTGACACAAAACTCTGTCAGCTTCAGCTGTCAAAGTAAGCAAGTTTCAAGATGCTGCGTAAATTTTCCACATGAACTCACCTGTCAAATTTTAATAATAATAATAATAATAATAATAATAATAAAGTCTTTATTCATCAAGAGATAAAAATACATATCTTTTGTTACAAGTAAGTGTAAGAAATTTAAAAAGTTAAAAAGTATGAATTAAAAAATATATACCGGTATATATATCTAGTATACTACATAGCTAATTCATATTTAAAAACTAAACGATTAATAAAAGAGTTTTTGAAGCGTATAGTGTTAATTCTTAGGTTTAAAACAAGTTTCTTTCCTAAGATTGTAGCTAGAGGGTTTCTAAATCTAAATCTAAATCTAAATATCGTTATGTCGGCAAAATCGTTTGGGACATCACGCCATTTTAACACGAGGCATAATAGATAAAAGTGGATGTCCTTTGGCATTAGAAACTTTTTTGAAAATTTTGACCAATCAGAGCATGAAAATCAGATGTAGAGCGTGACCAACACGTGACCTTGGTAAGAAAAGGTCTGTCCCGCCTGTATTTTAAAATAACTGGCTGAATTTTTGCGTCCAAGGTTAGTTTGAAAGCAAAATAGTACGGGGCCATAGTGACATAAACACAACACCTTTCATATGAATTTTTTTAAAAATATTACTTGAGCTTGCGATCAGTTCAAAACTAGCAACTTGTCAGCGGATAACTTCAAAAAAGTACTCAACCTTGGTGGGTCGACACCTTAGCCCACGATGCGGTCAGGTGATACTGGTCGGCAGATACCTTGGTCAATTGATCACAACATTGTCAAGAAATCGAGCCTATGAACAATGAACACTGAACTGAAACTAATAGAACAATAGAAATAGCGGAAATAGCCTAGGAAAATGAACACTTGAAACCGCACAGAGATTTGTTGTTTTGACTAATTTAGAATTTAGATGTTATCTGATCTACGTGACCGGGCGTAGTGTTACATAGCAGAACTTTGATTGTAGTCTTGAGTACGGATAGTGTTTATTGAGAGAACCGACTAGTTTTTGAGCTTTACCGCCTTTAGAACATCAAGCCTTGTTACACAGAAGGATTCAGCCAATAAAATTCTTTACATGGTCCTTTGACGAGCCGGATTTGAACGAGCTCATAGGAAAATGGCCTCAAAAAGCAAACAGAAGCGTCAAGGGCATCGCTTGTACGCCACAAAGCTGATGGGAGACGCAGAGCAAATAATCAAGGATTTCGATTCTTCAAAGGAAAACAAGTTGAAACAAATCAAAATTTCGCTTCGTGATCGTATGGAAATCTTACGCAACTTGGACGAAGCAATTTTGGGCGCCTTAGAAAAGGATGAAGAAATCGAAGAAGAAATCGCCGACGCAGGAAGGTTTAGCGAGAGAATATTGGAGCTTATCGTGGAGATCGAAAGCGTGCTGTCGCTCCATGGAAGTAAGAGCCAGAGCGGGAATGGATCACCGACCCAAGTTTCAAAAGCGGAAAGCGCTGGCAGCGCGAACAAACACGCGAAACTGCCCCGAATAAGTTTAAAGAGTTTCTCCGGGGAGCCAAGCCAGTGGTTGACATTTTGGGATAGTTTTAGGAGCGCTGTTCACGAAAATACCGAAGATATTCGCCTGTTAGTGGGCCGTGAAATGAAAGACGGAGAATGGAACCTCACTGAAATCTTACGACTTCTGCGCAGTGAAGTAGAGAACAGAGAAAGATGTGGAGGAGTGCAGGCCCTGGCCCGAAAGGAAAATTTATACAGTCCAGAAGATCGAAGGAACGCAAAATCGCCAAAATCAGGACCGACAAGCGCGTCAGCATTGTTTTCCGGAAACCAGCCTTCAAATACAACACATTGCACATTTTGCAAGCAACCGCACCCAACAGCAAGTTGCCACGTGGTGACAAACAAAACAGCGAGGAGAGAATGCCTAAAAAGCAGGGTCGTTGTTTTATTTGCCTTAAAAGAAGCCATCTTGCGAGAGATTGCCCATCAAATATGGCTTGTTTAAAGTGTTCTG